GAAGGGGATGGCCCTATTGCACTCTATGGAAGGGGATGGCCCTATCGCACTCTATGGAATGGGATGGCCCTATCGCACTCCGTTGCGCCCGTGGATCCGGTGGATTTAGTTGTCTCGTGAGCCTGTACCTCTTTAGTAATAAGCAACAGTGCCCTGCTATTGCCACAGTCCAATGTCTATATCTGCTTATCGTCGCTCACGATATTTTGTACGCTGCGTGTTTGGTGGTGCTGGGCTGCTCCAAATGTTCAAGTTGAGGATTGTTGAATGCGTTGAACACCAAGCCGTCACATGTGCAACGGTCAGTCATGTGCTGGACAAAAAGGTTCATTTTTGTAAGGTACCACGGTGAAACTCCTTGCAGGGTCCATTACTCCAACAATATTGATTCCTCAATTGAGCATTACGGCTGCAGAGTTCGTGCAAGGAATAGGTAATGGCCGTGCAGCCGTGATCTTCAGCAGCCCATTTCATCCCCCGCCATTCAGACCATCTGCCCGTGGTGTCGCTGTCGTAAGGTACAATGAGAAAACGTAACTATATAAAACAAAGCAGTTCATGTATTCCATGCATCTGGGTCACAAGGATCATTTACTCACTCGAACCTCGAGTTCACTATCGTCGTCGTGCCTACATTGGTGTTGGCTTTATTAAAGTACCACCAAGTGCTCTTTTAAGTGTGATATGGGAAAGAGGAAGCAGTGGTGTAGTTTGTGTAGATAAACGAATATAGCTTCCTTTTTACCAACCATTTATTTATTCGTTTCCAGCAGAAAATTTCCAATATTCGACATGTGACGAGTAAGACATTGGAAACGCAGGCACAGATACGAAATTCAACAATTATCTTGTCTGAACTGTATGAAAGTAGATCAGTTTCCAGCAACTAGCACTGATGGCGCCACCGTGCCTATGTAAGCCGCGGGTTGGGCATGCTCGTATGCTCTTGGTTAAAAAAACCCAAGCTCCTTGCAAGCGCTTCTTGATAATGAAAGTGAAAACAGCCCATGAAATTCCCGGAGAAGTTCGCGTTTCGCTACGCGACGACTGTGGGTGATGTGAGCGTCTTGTATCGTGCACATTTTCACAGCTCTCTACGCTCACGAGTTTTGGGAAAGGTTTCTTATCCTCCAACGCCCCACGCAAACCTTGTTCATCCGCGATGAAAGGCAACGCCGGTCCGAATGAAACCTTGTTAGGCGGAAATATCTCGCCCACCGCGAATAAAAGGAATAGCCTCAAAAAGGTTTCGGAGAGAATGTAGACACTTGAATAAATGTTTGAGACATATTTTAGAACCCTTTAGAACCCCACTCATATTTTAATATTCCAGGACAAAGCACGCAACTATACAGAGGCATGCCATACATTGTAATTGCTACCGCACAGCTCCAGCTCAATTATGTGATCCGTTGTTAAAATCTTACAAGGCATTTGTCATGTCTCTGATGCCAAGGCAATGAGAAAAGTTGCACTCCTGCTCAGAACGTTATAGCCCAGCGGATCAGTTAAGCTCCTTACTTTATCCACTTGACATGGCGTCAGTGGCGTTTTGACCAGGACGAAATATACACCGCTGGCCCAGATTACCGGGCCGTTACCGGACATGGCGCACAGTTGCCAGTCTGAGCTGGCAGCGACCAGACTCGCCGGCGTCAAATCAAAGCTAGCCGTTGATAACGCTCCCTGGAGCATCATGCACTCTTTCCGAGGGGCGGGCGGGGGCGAGTCAGCAGACTCCGGAGCTGGCTGACTGTCCAGTCTGCGGGAGTCATCATCATGTATTTAGTAGCGTGACGTCTGTTTCCAAGCGAAGCTCAGCCGATGAGGCCAGCCAACGAGCTTCACGAAATGCGGCTGCTTGCGATTCAGGGAAGCACACTGCCTGCTGTATCAGCTGACTAAAAGCCTACACAAGCTATCCACGTAACTTTTTGCCCACCATTGAACGTGGCTTTAGGAAGTGTCAACTACCTTAGTTGTTTGCGCCACCATGTAGCATAATGACGCTTGTCTTGCCCATTAGTGTTTCGAATAGGGCCTTCCGTTCCCACTTCTCTCCTCAGCACGCCTTCATTCTAGCGGATCGATCGTGGTCAAATGCCAGAGCAATATTTCAGGTAGGGAAGGACAGTCATAGCTCTCCGAAGATGTCACGCGCCTGCAATTTTTCAGGCGCAGTTACAAATGGTTTCTCCATCACTTCTCAGAAAATGTATTCAAATATTATTGCTACGATGCAAATTTAATACCACTCGCAGCATGCTATATGAGGCCCAAGAAAAGACTTCTGGGGGTACATACAATGTTTATCTCAGGTAGTAAGTGCTGAATGAAGTAGTCGACGGAAGGGTTCAAAGCAATCATTATCATTCAGTTTTATAGGCATGCTGCGGTGCTTTGTTCGGTATCTATTATAATATATATATATATATATATATAATATATATATAATATATACTATATGTATGTATATATATATATATATATATACATATGTGTATGTATATATATAGTATATATATATATGTGTATGTATGTGTTGTGTTGTGTGGTGTGGGTGTTGTGTGGGTGTGGGTTGTGGGATTGTGGGTGTGGTGTGGGGGTGTGTGTGGGTTGGTGTGTGGTGTGTGGGTGTGTGGGTGTGGGTGTGGGTGTGGGTTGTGCATGAAGCATAGTAGAGTCAGGCTCAAATGCGTTTCCAGCGCTCAGTATGGAGGTCTTCCACAGTCAGATGCATACGCAAATTATGGATTATTAGATAGCTTGGAGGTGGACAATTCCCACACATTGGACTGACTAGATCGACTAAGCTCGATCAATTGAAACATCGACACGTATAGAATTAGATTGGATGGAAAGTCGATCGGTTTGTTGAAGAGAATTGGAATCGATTGAAAATTGCAGAATATAGTTTGGAAGAAGTAAGCCCGTTTGTGTATGCTGATTTTTGCTCTTTACTTAAATCGAACAAAAAAAGCTTTTCTTGGAATGCATATTAAAATGAACGAGATGTACTGACTCTCCTAGTCATCCAGAGTTTTGTAGGCCAGGGTAGAGTATTTACGAGTGAGACCTCGAGCGTACATACTCGAACTATGAGAAATCTCTCAATTTCGGCTTCCTGGCCCCACCTAGCCGCCACACTGTCCAGAAGCTAAGAAATTCGCAATTCATGATTACAAGTGGACGCAGTTTTGAGCGGCAGTCAGTGGAATGGCCCAAAAGGTCTGCTATATGATATGTAGGCAATTATTTACAGTGTGATCAGTCTGGTTTTTCCTGCAATATCGCTACGGTGTCGCCTCCACTGTTCAGCTAACATTGAAAAGCAAAATGGCAAACTAAAAAATACTGAAAACCATGGATCGAAACCAAATCTAGATTTTGACGACCCGTACGTTGCGCAGACACAGGCTTACCGGTACCAACGAAGAAAATGGGAGGTCGTGCTTTCAAAAGTCCGGGTGGATATGTGGAGATTAGCACGCGCAATTGTGCACAAGATAAAAACCGCCCATTTTTGGAGGTTTTAAGGGTTGATTTCAGGTCTAGACAACCAGAGCAATAGAAAGAAACCAACTACACGATGGGTTGGTTTGCCGATAAAATCATTGCCAAATTTTAAAACTACCGATTTATCGATGAGTCAGTTATCGACCGGTATGCGAGCAATGCCACCTTTTTGGAAACTGATCTCGAAAATATTACGATGTGACGGGACTAACGGCGTAAGCTGGACTGTGAGTACTAAGGAGCTGTGAAGGCCCGCTTGTTGTAAAGAATAGATGCCCAAAATATTATTTTTTTGTAATACTCTGGTCGGAAGAGCCAAAAATCGCAAACTATTGCAAAGGTATTTCTTAACGCAAAATTATCTCAACCTTAACAGCAACTAGATTAACTAGATTCAATCCGCTATTTGAAGTTACACTCAGCAGTACCAAGTGCAAGATTGCATAGGTGGACTTAGTTCACTGCCGGGCGTTTCCCGACGACATTATTTGTCTATTTGTTCACATGCCGCACCGGCGAACTTTTGCCCAACACACCCTCAGGAAAGTCAAGCTTTCCAAGTAATTCATAAAAAACATGCTACCGTTTGCTGAAGGTGCCTGGCTCGATTACCTTAGTTTCTGGCATCACTTAAATGATAACAACCGACGGTCCTCACTGCTACGGGCGACTCATCCGTCTCTCGTCACACAGCGCGCCTTCACCGGACCACGCTGGTGGAGGAGTCAAGCGGATCACATCACCACTGCTCTGATCTCTGAGCTCTGATCCCATAACCACTGCTCTGGTCTCTGAGCTCTGGTCCCATCCCCACTGCTCTGATCTCTGAGCTCTGATCCCATCACCATTGCTTTGGTCTCTAAACTCTGATCACCACTGCTCTTATCTCTAGTTCCGGCTCTCTTGCTCTGATCTCTCAGCTTTGATCCTATTACCACTACTGCAAGCAATTCATGTGGCTGGACAGGTAAAATCCTGCCACGCTTAAACGCAGTTGAGGAAGCGCTACAACAGCGACACACGAAGCCCACGGAGTGCTGGGCGGACAGCGTAAGAGGCGTTTTGCGCGTGTCTGAGTGAATGTAAAAATGGAAGAAGCGGTTGCGTAGCAAACAAATAGAATACCCGGAAGACCAGAGACGTTAGCACCTGTTTTGATTTGTTGCCTCGTCATTTGCTTCGCATGCGCGCGAAAGCTCCTCGACTTGTGCGCTCGTCTCACAGGCATGCCTGGCCAAAGCGCTAGCCACTATGTACTGCGTTGTACGGGCTTTCCGGACGAAACGTGGTCGGATCAGTGTGGATCTCACTCCGAGCATGTTCAAATGAGAACATCCAGTTGGCAATCTCGCTGGCCACCGAGCATACGCTACCATTCCGCTGCGGCCTCACGAAACCGATCCTTGCGCCAGTCTGCCGACATACCCTCGGAAGAATAGCGAACTGCACCGAGCTGGCTCGCTCACATGGCCCTGTCGTTTCAGCAATGTCGTGGATCAAGTGGTCACCATGCCGGCCCTGGACGACGAGCCTCGGAGCGACGCCAGCGACGGCAGCCGAGCCAAACTGACACAGATGAAGGTGACGCCGCAGCGGACAAGGAGTGACTGTGGGGCGGAGACGCAGCGGTCACGGAGTGACTGTGGGGCGGACACGCGCAGCGTCACGGAGTGACTGTGGGCGGACAGACTGTGGAGGGGGCGGACAGGCGCAGCGGTCACGGAGTGACTGTGGGGGCGGACAGCAGCGGCGAGTGACGGAGTGACTGTGGGGCGGAGACGCGCAGGGAGCGGTCACGGAGTGACTGCGGGGCGGAGAGACTGCGCGGAGACGCAGCGGTCACAGAGTGACTGGGGCGGGACGGAGACGCAGCGGTCACAGAGTGACTGTGGGGCGGAGACGCAGCGGTCACAGAGTGACTGTGAGGCGGAGACACAGCGGTCACAGAGTGACTGGGGCGGAGACGCAGCGGTCACGGAGCGACTGTGGGGCGGAGACGCAGCGTTCACGTCTGATTCGCATACCGTCCACGGGGTGACAAGGATCGATGGGCCTAATCGCCACTGCGATGGCTCTGACTGGGCAGACAGATGCATGCTGCGTACGACCCATTTTTGGACGTAACATCTGGGTGTGTAGGACACTGTTTATGCGTGCCGTCTGTACAAATATCTTTTGAGATTTTTCCATCCGTCCAAGCCGTTCGAGATGGCCACATAAGCATGCTACCATGCATCCTTTATCGTCCGCCCTCCGTAGGACCGGCGTTAATTACGTTAGTTTCGGTGCATCACGCGCCGACATCCCGTAGTGATCCTTCAGAGCGATTTCTGCGTGGCAGCTTCGTCTCCATCCGAAGGGATTTCTGCTAGATGAAAC